AAGCATTCCCTCTGAAAACTGGAACAAGACAGGGATGCCCTCTTTCATCACTTCTATTCAACGTAGTTCTTGAAACTCTAGCCAGTGCAATTAGATGAAAGAATTTAAAGGGATAAACATAAGAAAAGAATAACTCAAAAACTATCACTGACAACCAGATTCTGTATCTAGAGGATCCAAAAAACTCTACCAGAAAACTTATAGAACTAATAAATGAATTCAGCAAAGTAACAGGATATAAAATGAACACACAAAAATCTAAGGCATTTCTGTACATCTGTGACAAATCCTCTGAAAGAGAAACTAGGAAAATCAGCTCATTCACAATAACCTCAAAAAAATTAAATAAAATGCTTGAGAATCAATGAAAGAGGTGAAAGACCTCCACAATGAAAACTACAGAACACTAAAGGAAGAAATTAAAGAAGACCTTAGAAGATGAAAAGATCTCCTATGTTCCTGGATAGGCAGAATTATTGTTGTCAAAATGACCATACTAGCAAAAGCACTATACAGATTTAAGGCAATCCCAATCAAAATCTGAATGACATTTCTCACAGAAATAGAAAAAAACAATCATGAAATTCATCTGAAAAAATAAGAGACCCAGAATAGCTAAAACAATCCTTAGCAGAAAGAGCAAAGCAGGTGGCATCACTATACCAGATCTTAAACTATACTACAGAGCAATAGTAACAAAAACTGCATTGTATTGGCACCGAAACAGACTTGTAGACCCATGGTATGGAATAGAGAACACAGAGACAAACCCACATAATTATAGTTATTTAATATTAGACAAACATACCAAAAACATATATGTTGGAGAAAAGATAGCCTATTCAACAAATGGTGCTGGAAAAATGGAAATCCATATGAAACAAAATAAAATTAAAACCCTATCTCTCACCATGCATAAAACTCAACTCAAAGCAGATGAAGGATCTAGAAATTAAACTAGAGACACTGCATCTATTAGAAGAAAAAGTAGGCCGAAATCTCTATCACTTCAGATTAGGCCTCAACTTCCTTAATAAGACTCCTATAGCACAAGAAATAAAAATCAAGAATCAATAAACGGGGTGAATTCAAACTCAAAAGCATCTTCTCAGCAAAAGAAACAATCAGTGAGGGAAATAGAGAGCCTACAAAATTCGAGCAAATTTTTACCACATGCACATCAGATAGAGCAATAATCTCCAGGATAAATAAAGAACTAAAAATTCTTAACAGCATAAAAAAAAAACAAGAAAACCCAATCAACAAATAGGCCAAGGAACTGAAGAGACATTTTGCAGAAAAGAATGTACAATGAATTGAAAAATATATGAAAAAATGTTCAACATCCCTATCAATTAGAGAAATGCAATTCAAAACTAAGATTTCAACTCAATCCAGTCAATATGGCAGTTATTTAAGAATACAAAGAACAATAAGTGTTGGCGAGGATGTGGAGGAAAAGGCACACTCGTACATTGCTGGTAGGGCTGCAAATTGGTACAGCCAATATGGAAATCAGTATGGAGAATCCTTGGAAAACTGGGAATGGAATCACCATTTGACCCAGTTATCCCACTCCTAGGTTTATACCCAAATGACTTAAAAACATACTACAGGGACTCAGCCACATCAATGTTTACAGCAGAACAATTCACAATAGCAAAATTGGGGAACTAACCTAGATACCCTTTAGTAGATGAACTGATAAAGAAACTGTGGTATATATACACAGTGGAATATTACCCAACATTAAATAAGAATAAAATCATGGCATTTGCAGGTAAATGGATGGAGTTTGAGAATATTATGCCAATTAAGCCAATCCCCCAAATACAAATGCCAAAAGTTTTCTCTGACAGGAGGATGCTGATCCATAATGGGGATGGGGGAAGGAACATGGGAGGAATGTGAGAACTTTAAATAGGGCAAAGGGAATGGAGGGAAAGTCAGGGGGTGTAGGGGTAGGAAAGATGGTAGAATGAAATGGACATCATTACCTTAAGTATTGTTAGAAGACACAAATGGTGTGACTACTTTCTGTACAACCAGAAACATGAAAAACTGTGCTCTATATGTGTATTATAAGCTGAAATGCATTCTGCTCTCATGTATAACAAATTAGAATAAATAATTTAAAAAATTAATTGAAGCATTTACATTAATGTTTTTATAAGTCAAAAAATATAAAGGAAATGAAAATTATTTGGTCAGATATGTTACTCAAATCTTTCATGATTATGTTGCAATAATACTCATTTTGCAGTTACAACAGAAAAATCAAAGTTTTTTATTTGTGACTTGCCAGTTTTATAGAGAGAGGAGTCTTTAAAAACCTATAAAAATTATAGG